AGCTCTTTCGAATATCCTCATCCCTAGCATGTGTAGCTTCTTTGAGGCTCATTAAGTCAGTAGCATTATCTCTGCTCCGACGACTGAGTTGAGACATCTCTTTTTGGAGAGCGGTTGCGATATTAGTCAGGTTTAGAAGCTGGCTCGAAAGGAATTCAGTGGAAAGCTGCTGTTTCATCATTGGCGTGGAATTATTTGTGACGGATGCTAGAGGCGATTCGCCATCCCGAGATGTTATTGAAGGCATGTTTTGCAACGCTAACATAGTTGCAGATTGGGGTGGCGTATTCTCGCCAAGTATACTCTGGGGCGGCCTCCTCGCAGAGGGGCGTATAAGGGAAGGCATGGTTGACGGTACAGGCGTAGGTGTGCCGGGGCCGGTGTTCTCTTTCTCCGCCGAGGCTAATTCTACGTCTTTATCTCTCTCGTGGTCCCTGCCACGATTTGGTGTTGACGGCCTTGCGTACCTATCTTTCTCGGGTGAGCCTCGAGGGGTTGAATTAGCTGAGTCTCGATCCCTCGATCCCTCGATCATTAAACTCAGATCTCTAACGCTACCTGGTTGGAGGGACTGCATTCGTTTATGGGGGCCTGGTCTTTGGACAAGAGCACGTTCTGGTGACGTCTCGTTCGCCCGTTTTGGGATGTGGGGGACGAGAGAGTTTTCGCGCGCTTTCTCGGCGAGAGCTGCATGTGCAGATTGAATAGCAAGTGAGGTGCCACTCCTCGAAGGGCCCACGCCGCCAGGCGATTGAGGGTTCATTGGCAAAGGGGGCGGTGCCCGCTCTGGATCGGAGCTGTCCCACCTAGAACTCTTTATTAGTCGATGATATAATCGCATTGCTGGGCAGCTGATAGCAATGAGAAACAAGTAAAGGAGGAAGCATACATTGGCACAATGGCTCCTATTGATGAAGAATGTTGATGTCTTAGCGGCCTATCGACCGGTGCGTCACGCTCAACCGGTGGCATATTCTGAACCGTAAGAGCGGCCTTGTGTTTCTGTGTTTCTCTCAGGTTGAGGGAATGATATGTCTGATTCACAACTTTGTCTGGTAATTTGTTAGGTTTGTCGCCGTTTGTTATTTGTATGAAATAATTCAAGAATTACATATAGGCTAGCCTAGAGCTGCCCCGTCATAGCGGGATGTGAAGAGTTAAAGTTAATCAAATCAGATATGATAAGTTAAGTGCGGGCTCGATGAACTTGAAGATTAGGCAAAAGGACAAAAAAAACGGAGCTTGGGGATCGTCTAAGAAGGACCTGGTAATATGTGATAAGGTCCTGATACCTATCTTGTGTATGTTATGTTGAAGATGGGGTGTGAAATGGGTCTGTCCCGCCTTTGCGCCGCTTTGTGTATGGACAAACAAATTAGGCGCCTGCCCAATCCCAATAGAGTTGCAACGTCACAAGTTGCTGCCCGGGCAACCGGCCTGTCGGACCCACAGTTACACGACATACATATGTACGTATATACATGTGTATCCATGGGATGCATGTACATCAATGGATACAGATGTACCTAATATATGTTGATTTTCCAGTAACATCTTTAATTGTACGCAGTAGCCAGAAGTTAAAATATCCACATTCCTATTATTTATATCGAGTACCTAAAGCAAGGTACCCTTTTTCTTTGATAACCTCACATCTTTCCTCTATGGTCCATCACGATGCTAAATCAAATCCAAGTAATTCTAGTACCGTCGCGTTCTTCCATACTATCGTGCTCCGGTTCCTTTCCGATCGCGCAGCTGCCTCGACAACAATGTGTAAGCTAATCTTGATTGCCCAATATACATAGCATCTTCCCATCTTCTTTTTCTTTATCATTGTACCCTCGTCTTTTTTTGACCCCAATTACCAGGCTCGAGCTTTAAATGCGGGATTTGTCCGTTGGTTTTGCCCCACGTGTTTTGTCTTGCTTTAGGTACATATGTCAGTAGCTTTAACCACACAGCAAAAGTTTCATAACCACACAACCCATCCACTTTCCACGTGAGTTGGTGGCCCGACCACCACACACTTAATTTGTATGGGGTCTAATCCATCCCCCAACTAAAAACGGAAAAAACAGAAAACTACCCGGTCGCATTTTTATTCAGGGCAAATTTCAAGGCATACAGCACCCTCCCCAGCCTGAATTTCAAGCACCCATGGTGCCCTCGCAGCACCAAAATTAGTAACCTAATCAATCTAACCAATTTAACCAATTAAATGCGCACGATTGAAATTCGTATTACTATAATAATTAAATAGATGCATGGCTAAGAGGAGTAGCTAAAAGGAGTGGCTGAGAGGAGTGGCTGAGAGGAGTGGCTAAGAAGCTATTTGAATTTTTGTAAAATACATAATTGAATTTATTGATGCGACCGGGCAAAATTCTGATTTAGTTGGAGGTTGGACTAAACCCCATACAAATTAGGTGTGTGGTGGTCGGACCACCAACTCACGTGGAAAGTGGATGGGTTGTGTGGTTATGAAACTTTTGCTGTGTGGTTAAAAATACCGTACATATGTAGGTCCATACTTTCTAAGGCCACAGGCCGTGGCGCTGTCCTCTTATCAACAATCAACATACCCTTGGTATTGTACATATGTAGTATTATGGAGGCTACCTAGGTACCTAGCATGATGCTTGTGGGAAGCATCTGGAGAAATAGACTCCTTAGCCCAATTAGTATTTACAATTTTGGACATACAATTTATTTTATCAAATCATTGCAAAGGATTATTTACTGTACATACTAGGCTAGCTGGTTAGTTAGAGATTAGTATACTTACCATCTAATTATTCGCGATCCTATTCCGGCTGTGGAGACTTGATTCCCTGTTTTGCACTAAATAAACAAGCAAGTCAGGAACCAGCTTGCTAGCCAGCAGTAAGACCCGAATTTTGATGGCGCAGTCTTGGCATCTTACACCCAAAATTGCTAAAGAAACAACATATTCAACTCAACATAACTAATATAAATGAAATTATACAAATTTAGAAAAAATGACCAATAGGTTCTATTTTGAATTATCTATTTACTTGTGTTTTTACTAATTTTATATCTCCAAATTCTATTGAATTGTGTTGAATAATAATATAACCCCTTAAACCTATTTAATACCTTATATTGAAACCAAGATTATGAGCACATCTTTAAAGCAAATAAAAATCTAAAATCACAGATATATAAAGAAGCTTTTTACAAATAGAACCATATTTTTTATAATTTTTATAGCATTATTTTGGCTGTATAACTGTTATATATTCTGAAGAGATTGAAATGCCAAGACTGCGCCATTAAAACTCGGGTCTTACTGGCCAGCCAGCACATCAGGAACTTGAGGATTGTGATGGGTCCGCATCGCTTGATCAGACCACTTACAGGCTTGAGCGTACCCCAGCATTTCTTATCACAACCCCGTCTAGCGATCATTACGTGAGGCAACTCATTTCTCATCGGCAACATATGTCGTATATAATAACACGATATTTTCTATCGAGACTAACATATCAAATATTTACGGACGTTAACTAGCAGCACTCCAGTGAAGTTTAAATAGGTACGGATGCTTTCGTGGAGTGTATATAGTGCCTTTCAGATGCTGTGGGTGAGTTTACCTAGGAAACGAACAAGGAATTGTTCACCCCATCCGTAATGGTGCGCTGCAATTACCGTCAGAAGTCTTATTCAACTCAGCAGATTCTCACGGGTATCAAATACCGAATATATATAATCGTGGTGATTGTACCACTATAAACCGAGTCATCATGGATTCCAGTGTCTGGATTTCCTAGTGCTTGCTTCTGTCACGAGGCGGACCAAGAAGCAAGGAAACAACTTCGTTGTTCCGCGAGGAACCTATCTACAACTATGGCTAAAGGCAGCTACATATAGAACAAGTTCTTTGTTCTATATGTAGCACAGGCTAGAGTCCTGACAGCTTCCAATAGTAAACTAAAGAGAAAAAAAAATCGAAAAAGAATTAAATAAATAAAAATAAAAAACAATCCTTTTATGCATTTAGTTGTATAATACTCACATATAGTATACTATATGGTATGGCCCAAAGAACTATTCGCAGATAACATGTTTCTAGATTTTCTCCCCGTATGGGTGATAGAATACCTAGTAATCAAGGACCTAACGAATGATATTAAGTGAAGTGAAGTATCCAGCAAGCCAAGATAACAATAATAGGTAGGTAGTATAATATCCGAAAATTTCGTCATGTTTCTAAGGAGAAATAAACACATCATCAGGTACCAAATAGTCAAGTCTTTCTCCCCAAGATGCGACTTGCCATTCGCCCTATGGGTACTAGATAAAAAAAAGCGTGTGGCCTCTTACATAGCACTATCCTAACTATCGGAGGAGACAGGTTATAGTTGTCCCTATGCTTGGGGTTGCTAAAGCCATGGCAATAATTAGATGGATATATCACTCAGCAAGTCATGTATCACCAGGGCCATAACGCCTGTCTATCTTAGAAGATAGAAGTCGGGCGTCAAGTAGCAAACATGAGAATCCTAAGCAAAGTTAAATTCGTCTTAATAGAATAAATGCACTTGCTGCGCTTAGCTTTGACAAGAGCAAATGATAAATCTGGGCTGGATGGTCCAAAACAGGAGCCAATATATTAACACAAAATTTCTAAGGGAATACAAGTAGGTATTATGCAAATGCAAATGCGAGTTACGTAGGGGATAGTACATAATAAGCACAGGTAAAAGAACTTTGACCTGAATACTAATTACATATAACTATCTTCAATACTTATGAAGTTAAGCCGACGCCACAATGGTGCTGTCAATACCCGCAATCATAACCATATTGATTCCTAGGAGCCCGAAGAAAAATTAAAGAGGTACCTAGAAAGTTTGCCAAATATCCAGACCATTACCGTCGATTCGACTAGACTCTAAGAAACCGGTCAAAAATGTATATAAATGCCAATTCTAGTTTGAACTAAGATGATAGACTCAACAAAAGGCAAAAGGAAGAGGTCCTCCTGGGGCTCGAACCCAGAATCTCCTGATTGATACTGTATCGTAGTCAGACGCCTTACCATTGGGCCAAAGGACCGGTGGATGAAAACTTTTCAAAAAAGCGCTATATAGCTCCCGTTCGTGGGTGGCTCCGCAAGACGGGTTTTTTTTTTTTTTTTTTTTTTTTTTTTTTACCTTAGCTCTGGTGGGGAATTATCTGATCATACCGCACGATATACATGATTTAACATGAAATAAGCCTTGAGAACTAAAATACAAATTGGATGAAATATTCGTCAATCATGGCATGGCTTATGTTATTTTCACGGTAGTGTTGAGGTTTGGCTGCGATCTTGCAAAATGCAGCTTCGATGTCACCGCCAGGACTTGAATATATAATAAGGTCCTAAATTCACCTCGGTTCAGGCCACTTGTTTTGCTCTTTAAACGATTCTTTCTATATCTAATGCCTCGAATCTTGCCTACCTCATTGGTTTATCTGAGCCTATTGATTTGTGTAGATGATAAATTCTACCTATTACTATGAATACCAATGGAATTAGAGCAGAGTAGCTACTTTCTAATGATATATAAGTCTCAATCGTCCATCCCGAGTTGAAAGTTTGTTTTGACATGTATTGGTTACCTATATTCATAAAGATAGCGACTCCATCTGTCAAAATGTGCTGTCGAATTATCTAGCTCCACATACTAGGTATATAGACTTACACGCGCTGCTATAGCGTCCGGTTGGGATAATATAAATTATAACTCCATGCCCTATGTTACCCAATGCCATCACTAACCCGCGCTCCTTATGTGCAAGGTTTAAAGGCTATGCGGGCGAAACCCAATCTCCTGGGACTTCTATGCAAGCTTAGCTGTACAGTGTACATACATAACATAACTTTAACCATGTTAAAAATAGAACGCATGTATGAGGTAAGTTACTTATATTATCAAGTCTATCTTAGAAAATAAATAGATATATTTACAATATATAAAATTATAAATATGGGGTATATTATATCCTTATATATTAACCATACATATTTTAACATTTTTATTCAAATTATATCTATAATTAACCCTAAATATCTTTTTAACTTAATTTTATTTATATCTTTATGTTTCTTAGGGTCTAAAATGTATTACTAATGGGAATAGGTCCTTATTAGGGCCTTTATAAGGTAGGTCTTTTAATCTTTTTTTTTTTAATTATTTAAATTAAATATTTTTTATTGCATAATATATTTATATTATATTGTATTTCAATTTTCGTTAATTAATATATATATATATATATAAAGAGTTCTTCTTTCTTTTTTTTTTATATAATATAAAAAGTATATTGTTTTTTAAAACTTTTAATAATATATATAAAGATGTTTTTAACTGCACTTAAAGATTAAATTTAATTTAAATCCAAAATTTTTAATCTATATTCATTAGAAATTATTTTATATTAAGGTTTCCACTAATTATGGAATATCTTTTTCTTGAAATTTCTTACTTATTTCATAATTGGAATCTTAGGGTATCTTTAAACCTAATAAATATATCTTTAAATAATAATTTAATAAGGCTATTAATTATTTATTATTAAGTAAAAATATATATAAAATTAATTTATATCTTTCTTATTTCATTAGTTGTACCATAATCCTGATTGACCAATTAGCTTCCAGAGAAATCCCCTATAATTTCGGACATTTTCAGCTGTTATATAATAGTTTCCAATTAGAAATACATATAATTTATCTTAAAAAACCATAAATTTGGTTATTTTTTAAATAATATTAATTATTAATGTTTTTAAATGGTTTTTAAATTGATATAATGAATTAAAGTGGTTTTGAATTTTGATGTACTTTGTGCGCGTGCTTGTGGCTTCTTTATGATATATAATTTTTTTAATTGAATAGAAGTTTATATTAGTAAAATCCTTTTGCAAATTGTTTAATTAAGGTATTAAGAGTGTTATTTGAATAGGAGTTTTAATTTAATAAAAGTTTTAATAATTAAATATAAGGTAATTATATTTTGAAGAAGGTAGGTATTAAAGTGATTAAATTAAAAGTTAATAGAAGTAATTGTTGGTAATGGTAGTTGGTGTTTAAGAGATAAAATAGATGATATATTTAGTAAGAGAGTAAATTTATAAATTATTGTAGAAGTTATAAAAGAAAGTGATGATTTTGTAGAGTTTGATTTGATTAGATAAGAATTAATTTTTGGGGGTTTATATATTGAATAAGAGCTTTAATAGTTCTTGTAGGATATATCTTGTATTTTAGTTATTTTATAATTAATTATTTTTTGAAGAATGTAAGTATGTATTAAGGTGATTAAATAAAATGTTGATTAATAGAGGTAATTATTGATTCTTAAGAGGTAGAATAGATGATATATTTAATAAGAAAAAGAAATTATAAATTATAGTAAGAAGTTATATGAAAGGTGATGTTTAAAGAATTTAATTTAATTAGGTAAGAATTAATTTTTAAAGGTTTATATTGAATAGGAGCTTTAATTTAAAGTTAATATTATTGAATAAAAATTTTAATAGTAAAATATAAGGTAATTGTATTTTGAGGAGGTAGTTATTTAAGTGATTAAATAAAAGGTTAATAGAATTGAGTGTTGGTAATGATAGTTGGTGTTTAAAAGATAAAATAAATATATATTTAATAAGAAAGAGAAATTATAAATTATTGTAAGAAGTTATATGAATGGTGATGTTTAAAGAGTTTGATTTGATTAGATAAGAATTAATTTTTGAAGGTTTATTTATGTTCAAAAAAGTTTGTGGAGATTTTAGAAGGGTTTGTTTTATGGAGGTTAATAGGGTTTTGTAAGGTAGTTTTAGTTATGTAATTATATTATTTTGGTTTATTATGATAGAGAATTTGATTTAATTAAATAAGAATTAATTTTTAAAGGTTTATATATTAATAGGAGTTTTAATAATTAAATGTATAGTGATTATATTTTGAAGAAGGTAATAAAGTAATTAAATAAAAGGTTAATAGAAGTAATTGTTTACAATGGTAGTTGGTGTTTAAAAGATAGAAAAGATGATATTTAATAAAAAATAAGGTTATAAATTATTGTAAGAAGTTATAAGAAAAGTTAAATAAGTTGATGTTTAAGAATTTAATCTGATTAGGTAAGAATTAGTTTTTGGGGGTTTATGTATTGGATAAGAATTTAAATTTAGGGTTAATATTATTAAATAGGAGTTGTAATAGAATAGGAGTTTTAATAGTTAGGTAGATATAAAGTGATTATATCCTGAAGGATGGTATTAAAATGATTAAATAGAAGGATTAATAGAGGTGATTGTTGATAATGGTAGTTGGTGTTTAAGAGGTAATATTTAATAAGAAAGTAAATTTATAAATTATTATAAAAATTATAAAAGAAATTAATGATTTTGTTAAATTTAATTTAATTAGATTAGAATTAATTTTTGAGGGTTTATATATTGAATAGAAGCTTTAATTTAAAGATAATATTAGTTTTAATAGTTTTTGTAGGATATGTTCTGGAATTTAGTTACCTTATAACAAATTATATTTTGAAAAATATATTAAAGTGATTAAATAAAAGATTAATAGAGGTAATTGTTTGTAATAGTAGTTGGTGTTTAAAAGATAAAATAGATGATATATTTAGTAAGAGAGCAAATTCATAAATTATTGTAAAAGTTATAAGAGAAAGTGATGTTTAAAGAGTTTGACCTGATTAGTTATGAATTAATTCTTAAAGGTTTATTTATATCTAAAAAAACCTATGGAAACCCTAGAAGGATTTGTTCTATAAAGGTTAATAAGGTTTTACAATATAATTCCAATAAATAGGAGCTTTAATAGTTAAATATTAGATATAAGGTAATTATATTTTAAAAAAAATAATAAAGTAATTAAATAAAAGGTTAATAGAAATAATTGCTTACAATAGTAGTTGGTGTTTGAAGGATGGAAAAGATAATATATTTAATTGGATACAAGGCCATAAATTATTATAAGAAGTTATATGAAAGGTTATATTTAAAGATCCTGATTTGATTAAATAAGAATTAATTCTTAAGGGCCTATATATTGAATAAGAGCTTTAAAACCTAGTTCTTGTAGAATATGCTTTATAATAAATTAGAAACTTAAATAAAATAAATGATATAAAGTGATTATATTTTAAAGAAGGTATTAAAGTGATTAATTAAAAGATCTAATAGAGGTGATTGTTTGGTAATGGTAGTATGTTTTTATAAAATTATATTTAATAAAAGAATAAAAAGTATATATTATTCATATAAAGTTTTATAAAAAAACTAATAATTTTATTTTTGAGAACTTAAGTTGATTAAATAAGAAAAACTATTTTTGAAGGTTTATTTATATTTAAAAAGTTTGTGGAAACTTTAAAAGCGTTTGTTTTATAAAGGTTAATAAAGTTTTGTAAAGTAATTTCACTTATGTAATTATATTATTATAGTTCATTATAATAAATGATTTGATTTGATTAGATAAAAATTAGCTCTTAAGGGTCTATAATAGCTCTTATAGGATATGCTTTATATTTTAATTAATTTATAATAAATTAAAAGTTATATAAAATAAAGGATATAAATTAATTATATTTTAAAGAAGGTATTAAAACAATTAAATAGAAAAATTATTAAAAGTGATTGTTTGTCAATGGTAATGTGTATTATAAGGTTATATTTAATAAAATGATTAAAAGTATATATATATTTATATGAAGCTTTATAAAAGTAATCTTTAAAGAATTATAATAAGCTCAAGCTGATTAGATAAAAAAGATAACTTTCGAAGGCCTATTTATATCTAAAAGAATTGTGGAGACCTGGGAGGTTTGGCTTTAAGGAGGCTAATAAGGTTTTTATAAAATAACATTTATTATATAAATACATTATATTAATTTAATATATTATTAATATTTAAATATTTTGATATTAAAAAAAAATTTAAAATTATATATATATATTTATAATATAAAGGTTTTTTTTTTAAATAAATATTATATTTATTATTAAATATTAAATTAATAATTATAAAATAAAATTAATTAATC